CCCCAAAACCCCAAAACCCCAAAACCCCGAAAGTTAAAATTTGCTTTGAATCTATGAATAAAAGAATTCATACAAGAAGATTTCTCAGTCCTTATAAATAGGATCCTGAAATAATTATTTATTACTCTAGATTATTAAAATGCAAAAGGGTCTGGAATACTCACAATACCCTAGTATAATAGGGGAAAAAGGACTAAACCTTCATTCATCAGATTTCATCCCAACGATCTAACAACCTCAATTGAGCGAGCCCTTCAATTTATAAAGAGAAAAGCCATTCGTGCAGAGAATCTTAACTGAATTCTGTGTTTAATTATGTGAATTAAATGCAGATGCATGTTTGTCAAATTAAAAAAGTGATTTCTGTCTCAAAGCTCATGACCTATCAAGTATTAGACGCTCTCCATTTACACCAAATGGTGTTTTAAGATATCAGCCGAAGTTCTGTACATACTATGATGTTTCTTAGAAAAAGTAAGAGTACAAAGGATAGAATAATACTGACACTACTTAAAAGAATAAAATCTTATATTCGAACAATGAAAATGAAAGATACGGGATGTGCCCACAGCGTGAGAATTGCAACTATTGCCATTCATTTTCAGAGATGGAGTACCACCCTTAAATCTTCAGAACAACTTACTGCAACGATTAGTTACAAAAACAATTATGCCAGAGAAGGAAAGGTCTTTGCTGTCACGCTCATTCCAATGATGAGCTTCGCTAAATAGAAAATTACTATTCACCTACTAGTATCTAAAGTCCAGTCGAATCAAATAAAAAGGCAAATTAGAATGACTAATATGGTTCATTTTATGACCTGTCTTAAATTACATAGCAGAGAATGAATCTTAGAAAAGGATCAGAGACAGCCATGATTAATGGGAATACCATAAAAAACCAAAACACGTCTCTTTACTCTCCTCCACATCAAGGAAGCAAGAGAAAGAATACTGTTGGTAACCTTTCGAGCTAGAGGATGAAAAAGCCTCAATCATTTCATCTGTAACCAGTCTAAAATACACCATAGCAAATCTAAGAAAACACAGGAAGAGTTGTTCCTTACTATATGGCGCCATTAGTGGACTAAACTGAGAAGCAAAACAGTTTTTACGGGACTTAAAACATCAAAACGAGCTAATGTATCCCATTCTTAGATTTAAACCTATTCAAAACAATGGCTTGTACTAGTGAGCCACAAGGACATAACTTGAAAAAGTGCCCATACTACCACGATTACAAAAAAGATAGAAGAAGACCCTTAGGATATTACTAATCAGAAAAGTGCTGGTACATAGAAAACCATATGGATTGCCAGTATGGAGACACTTGCGATAAAGCTCATAACCGCGTCGAAGAATTTTATCATCCAGATAAATATAAGGCAAAATTCTGCTCATCTTACTTAAAGAATCAGAAAGAGTGTGAGTATGGTGAGTTCTGTTCATTCGCTCACTCGGAAAGTGAACTCTCAGTTGAACTTATCGAAAAGTTCGAACCAGATATGGACTTCTACCTATTTCACTTCAAGACTGTGTGGTGTCCATATAGAGAAGATGATCATGAGAGAGATGTCTGTGTATATGCTCATAATTGGCAAGATTATAGAAGGAAGCCTTCAATCTTCAATTATTCAAAAGATATGTGTCAAAATTGGCACACAAAAAGCTTCATCACATCTTACAAAGATGGCTGCTAATTGGAATACAGATGCCCATTCAGTCATGGTTGGAAAGAGCAAGAGTTTCATCCAGACTATTTCAAGGTAAAGCAATGTTTACATGGCGATTCTTGTGAGAAGCCTCACTGTCCTTACTTCCACAACGAAAACGATCGCAAATATCAGTTATCCCACTGGTTTAAGTATTTCCCAAAAACAAGGACTGTCTCATTCCCGACTAACTTCTATGTACCAGTCTTAGGCAATGTCAGTGTAGTTCATAAATAAACTTCTTTCTCAAAAATGACAACAGAATTGATATGCAATTAGATGATTCTAAATGAAAGTCAATAATAGCAGAATCAATAGGCCTATAGTCAATAATAAAGTCTCTATCCAAATCAATACCTTGAACAATAATTATTGTAAAGTCCCACTCAATTCTAGTTTTAAGGACAAGTCGCTTAAATCATTCAGAACATCCAAAGCCAATAATAGCCTTAACACTTAAACTTGAATATGCAGTAAACTCAACAAATGCAGTAACAAAACTACAACTAAGCTCATGTGTAAGCACAAGCATAAGCTCAGGCTTAAGCTTAGGCTTAGAGAGAATTCAATTTAAGATAGCCTCTTGTTGCAGGGTAATAAATTTAGTATAGAAAAGCATCTGAGGGCAACTTTTATCCATAGAAAACAAACTACTTCTTTTAAAACTCTGCCTAAGTGAGCAACCCATTATATCTTAACCAGTAAGCACAGCAACAACATTTGAACAATTAATTTATGAATCTGAGTTTGATATAAGGAAATGCCTAATAGTTACAATTTAACTAAGGTAATGTGACTATCAGTTAATCTCCAAAGAAATTGATGATCCAGCCAGTTTCCTAGTACGATTAAATGACTTAGATAAGCCATGAAAACTAAGATAGATATTTATTTAATCTTAGCAGTGTTCAGTCATTTCAATCAACTCCTAGCTAGCAAGATAACTTCTAAGCGAAGATCAGAAAAATCTCCTGTTAATCAGCCGATTAATCACTTAATAGTAATTTCATTTAGGCATTAACTTTTTTAGGTATTTTTATGTCTAACGATAAAAATTATATGATGCCTAAAAACCAATAAAACATTGGATAAGCTAGTAAGAACTCTAGTAGTTCTTAGTCTCCTACCTTAGAAGATAGATTTGGTAAAAACTCATTAACATATAACTCTTTATTATAGCATTCTAGCAAAGTCAATACCAATAGCAAATTTAGTAGCAATAGCAATAGCATTAGATAATGCATCAATAGCAGTAGCAGTAATAGCAATAATAGCAGTAGTAATAGGAACATAATAGACAATGGCAATCAAATTTCAAGCCAGGATCCTTCCACCAGTTACTAGTTGATGAAAGGGATGAGAACTTGAGTGAGGGATCGATTTCTAGTGAAGGTGGAAATAAGGCAAATCACAGAGCTAAAGCAAGAATCCTTGAAATAATAGAGGAGAGACCATCAATTGATATTCAGGTGAGCGACGATGTCTACAGATTCCTAAAGACTATAGACCTTGAATTCTTGGCTGAATACTTCAATGGCGATTATTCAAAGATCAATCTTCAATAACTAAGGGATATGGAGGACGAAAAACTTGAGGAGATTCTTGAAGGTAGCATGTACGTCAAGAGAATTAGAACAGAACTCTAAAGATTAAACTAGTTATAACTTATGCAGGCTCAGCAATAATAATGAATAACACGATTGAATATTCACTAGATTGATCTCATATCTATTTTTGTAGATGTGAGAGACTTCAAGGTAGTTTATAATTATATAAAGAGAATGATACGGATTGATTCATATGAATTTAATTTGAAAAAAGGTTTAAATTAAATTTCAGCCTCAAATTAATCTTTTACAATAATAGATATGCCCATTTTACCAGCCACAATATATCTGAGGGGTTTTGGGGTTTTGGGGTTTTGGGG